GGGATTCCCTTAAGGAGAGTATGAACAACTGCATATGGGTTTGTGCCACCTCTTACCCATCCCTGACAAAATGGCACCGGACGGGTGGACATTGAACGGGGCGGCACCCCTGCCCCGTAGCAGTGCTTCCACAATGTCCCATTCACTTCAGGGGTTGTTTCCTCTACTCTCTCTTGCAAAACAAAAAAGGGGGAACTGTGGAGGGCGACAATGCCCTACCGCGGACCGCGCCACTAGATGGCGCCGAGCGGAACTCTCTTACTCGCGTAAAGAGTAAACAGATTCCTAGAAGTTTCTTACCCGGAACGCGTGCACTTGGAGTCTAGCCAATAACAAGTCGCATGATCAGCACGGGACTCTCACATATGGCCCATATGATAGGCTATATGCACTTCCGTACACGTGTACACAACACTGATTGGCCATTTTACTCTTTTTATTCGGCCATGATTCAAGTCCCAGACTCCATGACTTGAACTCACGCCGGGTGCATGTGCGTGTGTGCCCAAGATCCCAAGAGGAGAATGGAGGAGAAGGGATTGCGGTGTTGCCATCGTCCCTGGGGGGTGATTTCTTGCTTTCTGTCTCTCTGTCTCTCTCTGTCTTTCTGGCGAGCGCACACACCCTATAGCAAAAACCTCTCCCCCCCAAAAAATAAAAATAAAAATGAAGTTGTTTAATACTAAAGGAGCCTTGAATTTGGACACGTTAAAAAAATGCCTTGTAATTTCCATTTCATATGGCCCACACTAAGCAGTTGTGGCAGCTTAATTTACAGGAAAATCCAGTATCTACTTCTTTGCTTATGCCTTACATTGCTGGCCCTCTTAACGAATGCTGTTTCCTGAAGCCAACCTCTTCAGAATCACAACCTGCAGTTATTTGGCTAATGGGTGCCTTGTCTGCACATTGATCTTTTCCCACCTGGTGGCTGAAGAAGAGCAGCCGCCTCACCTGTCCTCTCATCTCTGTCTACCCTGAAAGACAAACCTGGGATGTGGCCAGTGTCTGCTCTTAAAAAAGTCGTTCATGACAAAATGTGTTGAAGGAGGACGATGACTTCCTCATCTCCGTAGTGTGCTTTACTGTTCTTCAGCGTGGGCATATTTTGAAACTGGTGGACAGACGCATACCTGCGAGCCATTGACTCTGAAAGTAACCAACACAATCCCACATGAGCAATGGGGTTTTTTTCAGTGGACTTTTTCTTCCGGGAAGGGTGATTTTGGTGGGTAATGTAGGGTAGGCCTTTAATAACTGTGTGAGTGATGGGCTCCTTTTCCCATGCCCAATGCATCCACTAAGTCCTCTTGCATAAACATCTACATACCTCCTCATACATGACCCCAAATGCTTCTAGAGGAAATACCTTGGCCAGAAAAAAACTCTCGTCAAAGTTCCAACGTGTGTTTTTGTGTTGGTGCGTTTGCATTTACTGCCAGAGATAACCCATACGGGCACTCTGCGATTCCCGATGGAATGTGATGCTCCACAACTGAACCTACTTGTGCCTGATGAATTACCCACACCCATTTAATCCATAAGTGGCATTTTCTTAACGTATCAAGCGGTCCAGGTCAATAGATGGAGCCTCGTGTCCAACAGCTGAGTGAGTGGGCTGTGCCCGTTCAGTGCTAACTCGTCATTGTGCATTGGCGTTGGGCCACGGTGATACTTCTTTTACCCTTTAACAAAACATGGACGTGTTCTGCGTGACTCACAGAAGAGAGGTAAAGGGCAGATGGGTCACCCTCTGATGAGCACCTTTTCTCTTACACAGGAATTCCGAGGGGTAAAGTGTGCTGAGGCACCTGTCCTCTAGTGAGACCCCGCCAGCTAGTCTGCGGGATTGGGTGTGGGGCCTTGAGCCTCTTCCCGTCCACCCCGTGGGACTCACAATCTGTGCTCGGGGTACAACGGCCTAAGAGGGAAGAGGGCAACCAGGATTTAAAGTAAAGCCATTTGGATTATTCCCATAATTATTAAAATGAACGGATCAGTACGTGTGCAACACAGGAAGTCCTCCGTTCAGTCTTGCTGGCGTTTTAAATAGAAGCGGGGTCAGCAGTGTAGATGCGTGACTTGGATTTCCAGCCGTTTGTTGGATTTGGAGGACGAGTCCTGACTTCACATGTTTGAGGATGGGACACTCATGATCCGAAACACCAGAGAGTCAGACCAAGGCGTCTACCAGTGCATGGCCAGAAACTCTGTGTAGAAGCCAAGACGCAGAACGCCAGGCTCAGCTGTGCCGGACTTCCAGGTAAACTGATCTTCTAGTTGAATGTCACAGAAATGCGCCGTTGCCCGGCCGTTATCTGAGTAGAAAGATGGTCTACATTCTTCCGTAAAGTAGGTGGTGCCTCAAGGGAAAGCCATTGCCCTGAGCTGTGAGTTTTGTAATCTTGTTTTAGGAAAATCTTGAACTGTGTTCTCTTGAGGTTCTTTTTAACTTAGTTGCATTATTCCCCAGCACACCACAAACGCTGTCCCCACACTTTGCTGTTCTCCTGTTGATTGCCCGTCTTCCTTCCCAGCATCCCAAGGCACGGGGAACTGGGAGCATTCTGCTCTTCAGACCCACCCACTCCTCGTGGTTCGTTGAACGCGTGTTTGCCGGCAGCCCACAGAGCTAGCCCTCGAGGACTGCGTGGTTAGAAACACGTTCCTTCAACTTTCCAAGCACGCTGTTTTGCCATAATTCCAATGGCTTTTATAAGCCAGACACAGTGATTGTGACAAGTTTTTATTAATATCATTTCGAGACGGTGGAAATACATTGTCTCTCGCCTTACTGAGCCTGCAGTCTATTAGGGGACCGCCATAATTCAAGCAATGGCAAGTTTATGATGCGGAAGGAGAGCGGATGGAAACTCAGGATGGCTGAAGGCTGGTAGATGCCTCAGAACTGGCTCTGGAGAGGGGAAGCCCTGATCTGCAAATCTGAGACTTTCCATGGTCTAAACAATGCCACGAAGGCCAGGTTTTTGTTTGTTTGTTTGTTTGTTTTTTGAGAGGTTTTTGCTACAGGGCGTGTGCGCCCGCCAGACAGACAGAGAGACAGAGAGCGAGAAATCACCCGTGGCCACGCTAACTGCTGGTCCGCATGAAGGCCGGTTTTGAGTTGGCTATTTGACATCACTGAACGTGGACGGGGAGAGGGTGCGGTGCTCAGGTGCATGGTGTCGCGGCCTGCTCAGCAATAGAGGTAAATAGCATGGGGACCAGGGATAGCAGTGACATGCAAGAAGTAGGAGTGATACATTCCAGAATTTACCTTCCATACTAACAAAATGCATTTAACTGTGAGTACGTGTGCTTTCACTTTTCTCATAGCTGTGCCGAACGACCAGACTACGAATCGTGAAAACTGGATGGACCAGCAGTTAGCTTAAGGGCTATGTCGCTGGACTCTCCCATGTAGTCGCCCCGGTTTGCGCCCTGGACCTGGTGGCTTAAAATTCACGCCGGGTACGTGTGTGTGCGTGCCCAGTGCAGGTGTGTATACATTTGAGCATGCATGTGTTTATGTGTGTGTTTGTGTATTTTGTATGTTCACGTGTGTATATGTGTATACATGTGCTTACATGCGTCACTGTGTGTACACTTGAGCATACATGTGTTCATGTGTGTCTGTGCATTTTGTACGTGCACATGTGTGTATATGTGCTTGTACGTGTCAGTGTGTGTATATACATTTGAGCATACATGTGTTTATGTGTGTATCTCTGTGTATTTTGTATGTGCACATGTGTATATGGGTGTACATGTGCTTGCACGTGTCAGTGCAGGTGTGTATACATTTGAGTATGCGTGTGTTTATGTGTCTGTGTGTATTTTGTGTGTGCACATGTGTATATGTGTGCACATGTGCTTGCACGTGTCAGTGCGTGTGTTTTGGCTGGTGCCACAGGCAGTGCAGGGGCTGCCTGCAGAGCTTCCACTTCCTCCCACAAAGCAGTGATATTGTTTGTCCTGCTCCTTTCCAAGTAGGCCGCTTTTCCTCTCCCCGTGTCAGTACTTGTCACCAGAAGGCTCCTGTGGCCTGAGCTTGTGCCTGAGTTCTGGGGGCAAAAGGAGGAAGAGCAAGGTCTGGGCAGCCCTTTTCTGAGAAGGAAACTCTCCCAGTGCCACGTGTCCGCAGTTCCCTGCAGAACTGTGCTTGAAAGAGAGGGAGTCTTGGGCCAGCTTTGTGGCCGAGCGGCTAAGCGAGCCAGATCTCCAAGGTCCCCCGGAGTTTGAATCCTGGCCTTGGTGGCTTAAGAAGCACACCTGGCATGTTCGCGTGCATGCCCCATTTCCCAACGGGACAGAGAAACGGAGCAGAGTGACTAAGGCGTGACAAGGCCCCATTGGGGGCATCCCGTTCTTTATTTGATGAGCACATGCACCCTCTGGCCAACAAAAAGAAAGGCGAGTACTTGAAAATGGGAACATTGGAACATCTAGCCCCTGCAAGGAGGACTAGGGACTGGGTGGGCATATGGCGGTTCTACAATATAGCATGGCTGTAACATAAGCAAGCTTCTAAAACGATTGTGTGTTATATTCGCTTATTTAGTTTAGCTGTAATTCTTTGGGAACTGAATGTACGTGTATAGTAGTATGCAAGCATTCTGAAAATGACAGTAGTCCTCGGGACCAGCAGTTAGCGTAATGGCTATGTCGCAGAACTCCCATGTAGTTGACCGCAGTTCGAGTCCTGGGCCCAGTGGCTTAAAACTCATGCCGGGCGCGTGTGCGTGCGTGCCCAAGATCCCGAGAGTAGAATGGAGGAGAAGGGATTGCGGTGTGGCCATCCCCCTGGGGGGGTGATTTCTCGCTTTCTCTCTCTCTGTCTCTCTCTGTCTGTCTGGCGAGTGCACGGGCCCTGTAGCAAAAAAAACCTTCTCCAAAAAAGAAAGAAAAAAAGAATTTTGGGGATAATGTGATTTAAATATATTCCTTACATACCCTGCTCTTCATTCCTCTCCGTGCCTGGTCCTTTTTTGCTTCTTTGCACTGGAGGGGGCGCCAGGAGTGGTGAAATTTCTTACCAGCTAAACTCCAAGCAGGTGTAACCTCTTGAAGCACTGACCACATTCTTTGGCCATTGTAAACAGGGCAGCCAAGTGCAGGCTCTTCTGCTAAATGGCCAGTAGATAGCTTGCACTTGTTAATATCTGACATTCCTGTCCTCAAGCACCACAACCAGGCGTGCACGGGCCCTGTAGCAAAAACCCCTTAAAAAAAAAAAAAATGACAGTAGTCCTAAAACCACCAGTGGAATAAATGAGCCTTGCTAACTGCTCCTGGGCACGTTCTTCCCCTTTTGCCCAGCCATGCCCAGCTTTGTCATCCGGCCCCAGGACACAGAGGTGCTGGTTGGCACCAGCACGACCCTGGAGTGCGTGGCCACAGGCCACCCGCTCCCCCACGTCACTTGGACCAGGGGCAACGGACAGGCACTGGATGGATCCAGGCACGTGGCCACTCCCGGCGGCCTTCACTTGCCGAACGTCGCTCTGCAGGATCACGGCCTGTTTACCTGTCATGCTAACAACAGCCACGGCTCTGCCCAAGCTGCTGCCAACATCATTGTACACGGTATGGGGGCATGGGTCGTCAGTGACGTGTTCCTTCTGTCCCACTCAAAATTACTTTTCAACCTACGAAAATAATGTCATGTACCTTAGCGGAGACGTATTTATATTTGCCATTTATTTTTGATGCAATAGAATTTTCAAAACTAATCTGCTTCAAGTTAAAAGCGGGATTTTTTTTTTCCAGTTCAATCTTTATTCAAATGCCTGAATCAAGTGTTAGCAATAAAAGAGATTAAGTGATCTATCTGGCAGCAAACTGTCAAAAGATATTTGCACTTCAGAATATTTTGCAGACAAAGGAAAGACACTTCAGATAGGAAAGCAAAGGGCTGTGCCCCAAGGTCACGGTGCTCACCAAGCTGTCTACTCAATGCGCTGAGAGCGGTGAGGGCTCTAAGCAGAGCCACAATGCCAGCCGACAGCGCTAATAAAGTCCCCGAACCCAGCAATAATTGCTATGCACGCGCGTTCAGTCATCTTGGAAAAACACACGCTGGCTGCTTTGGTAACCTGAGGCTGCCCTTTCTTTCCACTGTTGTGTGTGTGTCCATGTGTGTGCACCCACGGGCATGCACACACATGCATGTGTGTGTGTTTGCGGGTATATGTGTGTATGCACACATGCACTCAATCCTCCTGTAAGCTGAGCGATTTAGTAAACAACAGAATAGAGAGGTATTTTTGGAGTGATGCCGAAAGTTCTATTCTATCCCAAACAGCTTTTATCACCTGACAGTGCAGTAAGTAATTTACAATGATCCATGTTAAGGGCCTCCTGAAGTCAGGAATATTTTAATTGTGTTAAGAAGCTTCATTATTTTCTGATTTGCATAGGATGTCACTCCCAGAGACGCAAGGTCAGTGTAGACTGTAGAGAGACCGGGCTCTGGCAGTGTAGACTAGAGGACACTCCAAGGCGGGTGCCTGAGACTTGGCCACCAGAGACTCGAGACTTCACCCCACCTGGGTCCCCATATCCCACACGTACTTCCTGGATTCCTACCATCAGCTCCTTCAGTAGCGATAGCTCCAGATTTCTTGTTTCCATTGACATGTCTGAAGACAAAATCGTGTTTTTCCTAGAAATGCTAATACCATGGAAAACACTTTCCTTGCTCTAAAAACACAGTGCAGAAATGAAATTGTTCTCCACGTCTTTGGTAACTCCTGGGGGAAATTACTTTTAAAGGACCCATACATTATTGGTAGACTTTCATTGTGTTGAGATTGAAACATGCTTTCAAGAAGACGTGTTTAGTCTTTGTTTTGCTTGTATTATTTTCTGCTTAATGCCATCTTTTTCCTTGTACAAACACGATCCCTAGTCCAACATTTGCACTCTCACAGGCTCCTTTATTTCACGCGAGGCTGGCCTTCTGTTTGCAGCGTCTTGCCTGTGGTTCCTGTTCTTTCCATCTGCCCATCTGCACCAGCTGATGTTATCCAAACTGCTAACATCCGCGTGGGCCCTAATTTCTCAGACCACCATGCCTGTGACTCCCTCCTCCGGACGGTTTGCACCGCAGTCACCATCTGCTTGTGCTGTCATTTGTAACTGCACTGGTGTCACTTGTGGATCTATGTGTTCCAGTTGTTAATTGGCCTTGAAATGGTCCATTAATCATTTTATGCATTTATAAAAGAGGCTTCTTTTATTTGCCTAGTGCATAGGCTATAAATATCTTAAGAGGTACCATTCCTGTGTCATTTTAATGGGTGTCCCTGTCAAGTTTCTTTAGTTCTTTAATGTCTATTTAAGCTAAGATCACAAGACCCACAGATAAACTTCCTTCCTTAAAGTGATTGAAGCAAATGACAAATAAAATGATTAAAAAATAACCCTCAAAAACTTCAGTGAAAGGTTGGGACCAGCAGTTAGTGTAATGGCTATGTCTCAGAACTCATGTAGTCGACCGTGGTTCGCGTCCCAGACCCGGTGGCTTAAAACTCATGCCAGGCGCATGTGCGTACGTGCCCAAGATCACGAGAGGAGAAGGAGGAGAAGGGATTGCGGCGTGGCCATCCCCCCTGGGGGGTGATTTCTCGCTTTCTGTCTCTCTGTCTGCTCTGTCTGGAGAGCACACGCGCCCTATAGCAAAAACTTCTAAAAAATAAAACAAAACAAAAACAAAAACACTCAGTGAAGGGTTGAACTGCAGTAGGTAACATCAACTGTAACACTGAGGTGCTTTTTGTCCAAGTCATCACTGTCACGCAGAGCCAGAGGCTGGACTTTAGTAAAATAACCTGGACCAGTGGAGCCTTGTGTTTGGGGCAGCTGGATCCCACACAGCTGTGCTAGTGGTTCGAGTCCCAGACCAGCGTACATCCCTGGACTTCCACATGGCTGAGCACAGTTCAAATTCTAGATCTGGTGGCTTGCTTTTCCACTTCCCTATGTCTCAGAACTCATGTAGTCGACCGTGGTTCGCGTCCCAGACCCGGTGGCTTAAAACTCATGCCAGGCGCATGTGCGTACGTGCCCAAGATCACGAGAGGAGAAGGAGGAGAAGGGATTGCGGCGTGGCCATCCCCCCTGGGGGGTGATTTCTCGCTTTCTGTCTCTCTGTCTGCTCTGTCTGGAGAGCACACGCGCCCTATAGCAAAAACTTCTAAAAAATAAAACAAAACAAAAACAAAAACACTCAGTGAAGGGTTGAACTGCAGTAGGTAACATCAACTGTAACACTGAGGTGCTTTTTGTCCAAGTCATCACTGTCACGCAGAGCCAGAGGCTGGACTTTAGTAAAATAACCTGGACCAGTGGAGCCTTGTGTTTGGGGCAGCTGGATCCCACACAGCTGTGCTAGTGGTTCGAGTCCCAGACCAGCGTACATCCCTGGACTTCCACATGGCTGAGCACAGTTCAAATTCTAGATCTGGTGGCTTGCTTTTCCACTTCCCCCACCTTCTGGTCAAATTAAAATAACTAAATAAATAACAATGATGAATAAAGTTAAATAAAATAATTCTTATAAAAAAAAAAAAAGTCCTGAGAAAATGGAGAAGGGATTGCATTGTGACCATTCCCCAGGGGGTGCCTTTTCACTTTCCTTCTCTCTCTTTCTCTCTGTCTCTCTCTGGTGAGTGCACACGTGTGCCCTCCAGCAAATATAAAATAAAATAAAATAGCAAAACCCTTCATCTCCGCATGTGCTATTTCAGTTTTGGAGGCAGGCCTCGGTTGGCCACTGTTTTAAATTGCAGGTCCAGAAACATTCTTATCACTCGGTCTAACTCCTCCAGCCTTCGCTGAAGCCTTGACGATGTTCAGGTGTTCCTGATTTCCCCCATTAGATTTAATTTCTCCATTGACACAGCAAGGTGGTCATGTAAGAATTAGGAAAAAACATAAACTGATCATTTTCTCACACTCCTCCGATGCTTTTCTAGATGTGGAGCCCTGAGGTTTCTAATTAATTTAATTTTGTATGAGGAACATGTGAAGTAAAGCAATGCTTTTCACCCAGACTTGGCTAATGGTGAATCGTAATCATTATTCAAAGTTGAACTCACAGTTTCCAGCCCTGAGACCTTGACCAAAGGGCTGTGCTTTTCTTTCACAGCCCTCTCACTGTGTCACGAGTCCAGGTTTTGATGTAGAAATATTTTTGCTCTTTTTAAGTCATTCTCAGTCATTTTAGGAGTTAGCGTAATCTGGAAAGAACACCAGGCTGGGGGTGGAGCAGCCCAGGTTCTCGGACGGTCACTGCCACTTATTCTGACTGAGGAATTCAGTTCGGCCTCCCCAGTCTGAACGTCTTCGGCAGCGACTGCTGGCCTGTGGGTTGTGTTCCAGCTGGCTTTTCTAGAACTCTATTGCAAATAGCTTGCCGGCCTTCCTGAGGGCTATCACGAAGTTGAGTGAGTCTGAATTTACCTTGTAGCATAGTTATTTAGTTCAGCACCTTGCTTAGAATTGAGGAAGACTATTTTTTTGAGAAAACATCTTTATCACTGGCACAAGTATGAAACTTGCAGAAAACGCACTTTGCCAAATCCTGTTCACTTTATCCTGTCTCCTGGACTTCCAGCCGGGATTGTGCAGAGTCCAGGGCAGAGAGATGAGCTGCCGCATCGTCCGGAAGAGCTCCAACCATGCCCTCACTGAAGTCATTGCTGGAGATCACCTTGTCCTCTTAAATGGCCACATGGGCTTCTTTATTTTTAATATTTGGGGATTTATAAAGAAAAGTCCATTTGGCCATTTCTTCTGGGAGAACAAGAGAGACCTTCAATATATGGTCCTCATACCACAACCACACTCCAGCCTGGTGGGCCCAGACCACGGCTCACACACCTTACAGCATGTGCAGGGAGACCCTGGGACGCCAACCTGGGACCCTCCCATGGGCTTCAGCATCACAAGACAGTTACATTCCCCTTGCATCACCACGCTAGCCACATTTACTTTTTATATAAATCAAAGCATCAAAACAGATGTCAGTAAACTAATGTGTATGCAGTATGAGCTATTCATTATGTATACAAAATCAACTATGAAACATCTGAATATTTGGGACTCTGAGTTTTCAGAATTAACAGAGCCCCTCGTTACTCTGTGTGTGAAAGTTTGGGGGAAGAAAACGATTTTGTTAATAACTTAAATACAATTTGTAGTTTTAAATCATTTCCCTGCCTTTCATAACCGAATACCTGCAAGGAGGATTTAATCGTACTCGCAACAGATTCGGGGGTGGCCCCTTCCTACCGGCTGTGCTTTCTGCTCTGCTCACCAGAGGTGGCTTTTTTTTTTTTTTTAGAGGTTTTTGCTATAGGGCGCGTGTGCTCGCCAGACAGACAGAGAGAGACAGAGAGACAGAAAGCGAGAAATCACCCTCCAGGGGGGATGGCCACACTGCAATCCCTTCTCCTCCTTTCTCCTCTTGGGATCTTGGGCACGCACACACACGCGCCCGGCGTGAGTTTAAGCTGCCGGGTCCGGGACTCGAACCATGGTTGACTACGTGGGAGTCCAGCGACATAGCCATTACGCTAACTACTGATCCCCAGTGGTGGCTATTTGTAATGTCCTTACAGACACACGCATGCCAGCCCGCACGCTCTGAGTAACCTCGTGGAGAGTAATTGGAAACAGACCCTACTTCCACAGTATTTTGAAACTCATTCCCCTTCCCCCTTGGTATAAAAAGGCTGTAAAATAATTTCTAATTTCGATGGACTCTCTCCTCTCTCTAGCTCCACCACGATTTATGGTCAGCCCCAAGGATCAGGTGGTGCTGGAAGAACACGCTGTGGAGTTCCTCCGTGAGGCTGAAGGCCGCCCGCCTCCGGTAATCGTCTAGACAAAAGCAGGTATGAGCACATCTGCAAGGAACTGGGGCAAGAATTCAGAGTCCCGAAGCGGTGTGACCTGATTGCTATAGCTGGATCGCGACTGCATGCACACCGCACAGCAGGCCACCCTGGTTAAGTAGGGTGCCATCACAATTTCTGTGGTAAGTTTCAGCATTTGAACCTATAGCCTTCCTGAGAGCATCCCCTTTGGAACTCAGTTTTCTCATTTTGTCTTAAAGTTTATTATTTATTTATTTCTTCTGTGAGTGACAGAGACAGAGACAGCACTCCCAACGGGGTCCCCATGCCCTGAGCCACCCCGTCCCAGCCTACCCGGAATCATGGCACGTGCATGCCCATTGTACTCAGACAGGTCTCTGGATGAGAACCTGCAACCTTCCCAAATGGGTCAGACTCACAGAGCATCATGTTGGACCGCTGTGCCTGCTATGCCACTGTCTGAGCCCTGTCTCCTCTTCTTTTTTTTTTTTTGAGAGGTTTTTGCTATAGGGTGCGTGCATGCACCAGAAAGACAGAGAGAGAGAGAGACAGAGACAGAAAGCAAGAAATCAACCCCCGGGGGGATGGCCACACCACAATCCCTTCTCTTCCATTCTCCTCTCGGGATCTTGGGCACGCACGCACACGCGCCCGGCGTGAGTTTAAGCCACCGGAAAAAAAATGTCGACTACATGGGAGTCCAGCGACATAGCCATTAGGTCAACTGCTGCTCCCCCCCCATTTTCTCTTTTTAAAAATGACTATTGTAGCATTCAGCAATATTACATTTTTCTTAAAGTGGTACAATCCTCCATTTGTGCAAAATAAAGTTGTAAGGGAAATGAGGTAACACGTGAAGCTCTCCGAACAGAAGCTCTCGAAAGAGCTGCTCTCCTTGGGGAGCGGGTGTGTGCCGTTAGGTGCTAGCAGGCAGGGTCCACCCTCTGACCCAGAGAGGGAGCCCAGGGGCATTATAGAAAAGATTGGCAGCTGTCTGGAGGACACCTTGTCACAGAGTCCTCTGTGCCTGGGAATCCTGACCTGTTCATTAGCTCAGGTACCTGGTTAAATTCGAAGTACATCCCAAGCTGTGAGTTTCTTTGGCTAGGATTTGGGTGTAGTCTTCATGAGTTTGGAGAGGAGGGTAGAGGGGCGCTGGCAGCCCTGAAGCCCACATTCACGTCTCTAGCCCTTCATTTACTGAGCGCTTGCAGGATCTCGGGCAGGCAAGTTAACTGCTGTCTACGAGCCCCCTTCTCTACGCTGGGCGATGTTTCCTGTTCACAGGGCAGTTCTGGAGATGGGTCAGAACCCACTTATGTCCGTAGACATTTAGAAGAGGCACATCGTTAGACACTCATACACTCAGTAAAGGTCAGCTACTACTTTTCCAACTATCAAAGGACATTAAATAAGGCACAAATTTTCACTAAGATGGTGAAAATAGCAATCTCATTTCATCGTCAGTGACCAAGGCATGAAGTGTTAGAAGGATTGAGAGGTTCAGTATAAGCTCAAAGATAAAAAGTTCAGTGATGTCCCGAGGGTAGGCAGTGTGCTTGCTATGCTGAATCGGCACTTTAAATAGTATAATTTGGGGCCAACAGGTGGTATAATGGCTAAGGTGCTGGACTCCCAGATGGCCGGTCTCAGTTCAAGTCCCAGACCTGGTAGCTTGGAAATCACGCTGGGCATACGTGTGTGCATGGCCCAGATCCCAAGGAATGAAGGACAGCAAACTGGTGTGGCCATCTCTGCTGGGGCTAATTTCTCACTTCCCCTCTCTGTCTCTCTGTCTCCTTCTTGCCCTATGGCAAAAACCTAAAAAAATTATAATTCAAGAATGTTTTTATATTCCAAATGTTGCATACATGTGAGAAACAAATTAGGGAGGTATTTGAAAATTATATTTAGTAATCAGATTGGCTTTGAAATTTGCATTCTAATTGCGGTAAACAAGGCAAAGAGGGCAAACGGAAGACCGGGACTCCTTCGGAGGCTCAGATGTCCTGGTGAGAGGTGCTGCTGGTTTGCAATGCAGTGGCCCAGGTTGGGGCAGGTCACCGAGGGGTCACGTTTCTGGGGATGTAACGCTGGGGAGGAGCCATCTGGGACACGCAGGTGCAGAGGAGTTCTCAGGACGGTCACGTGCACTCTAGCTTTCGGCTCTTGGGGCCGTCCCGGTGCCATGCGAAGCTCTCTCTGGCTCTCTGCAGGAAGGCAGCTCCCTCTGGAAGGTCAGCCCGTGTGTCACTCCTCCGGCACGCTGAGAATCGAGCAGGTGGCACGCCACCATCAAGGCCAATACGAATGCTGAGCTGTCAGTCCGCTGGGGGCGAGGAAGGTGTCTGTCCAGCTGACCGTGAGACCCAAAGGTGACCGTCACCACGACCCGTTTCACATTTTGGCCAGAATGCCCTTTTCTGTCTTTGACACACTCTGAAGGGACCTCCTTACTTACTTGGCTTTTTGATCTTATAAGATCTGAGAAATTGCAAATTTAATATCTTCTTCCAGTCTTTTATGTAACTTCATTTTTTAAAATTTGAGAATAGTATTTCTGATAATACTAATTATATGTTTTCTCTAAAAAATGTGATTTCATGTTTTCTTGGGAAGTTGTTTACACTGATTAATTAGCCCCATCTGCATAGACTGTGTCACAGGATGCGGTTTTCAGGTGGGGAGGGGGAGCTTACTCTCAGAGTTAAGGAAAACATAATGCAGGTAACGTCCTTCAGACTGCTCATGTGAAAACCTTCCTTAGGTTTACCCTGCATGGCATATATTCCGTAATGAGATGTGGCATTTGTTCATAAGTTATTGCGACTTAGATGTAAAAAAGAGAAAACGCAAGGCCAAAATTAAAAAAAATAATAATAATAATTCCAGAGCAAAAATGAAAAGCGGTTGCTGGTATCTGCTACCGAAATCCGTCTCAGTTCGGCTGATGCCGACACGCCAGCACCTGCATTGTGGTTTCGGCGCCGCTTCGCATTTCAATGTCCTTCTCTAGATGCGCTGCAGTTTCTGATGGAGTAGGTCCAAGCCCAAAGGTGACGGGTACTTAGGTAAGAGCGTAAGAGCAGAGAGAAAGCTGGCCGTCCCAGGCAACGTCAGCGGGCGGAGCGCGGCACCGACCCTGCGTCCTGCGTGGCGCTGTCGGCCGAGGGGCTGCGCTGAGCCGCGGTGCGCAGGTGGTCTCCTGTCACTGTCACTCGGAGACAGGCCCAGCGCGTTCCCGTGGAGGTTGGGATTCTAACAGGCAGAAGCGGTCGTAGGAAGGGTGTGCACATGGCAGCTCCAGCGAGTGGGAACGTCTGAACGCACGCTGTGGAAAGGTGACGGCGTCAGACGTCCTAGGACGTCCTGGTTCTGCCTCAGAGGAAACACCAGGAGCTGGCCTGAGAATCGTCCACTTTCGAACTGGTTTATGAAAACAATTCAAAATCAGGAAGTTTTTACAGTTGATATTTAAAAAATATTAAATCAACAAATATCAAACAAAATGTGTTGTAATATGCTGTGAGGACACTGAAGTCACTGGTCCTAACTGTGCCCACTGCCAAGTCCTCCCACTTAGCGAGTGTCTAAGAAAAGTGTGTGGAAACATGGAATTAACGTACACGTCTCGGTTTGGGTAAAAATGCTGAAATCCGTGGACCTTCCCGGATAGCTTTTTAAGTAATACGCGTCTTCCATAGACTTTTTGAATACCCCTTAGAGCGAGCCTTTCGTTTTCAATATAGAAACCATTTCGCTTCCTTAAGGAGGTGTCCTTGACTCCCCAAGACCCCGTAAGTGACCCTTGTTGGAATTAACATTAGACTATGCCATTTAATGTGATAGTTGACTTGTAGAGGCATCTGCTAAGTCTATCAGATATTCATAGGTGAGAAGATGCCAATCGCAATGGGCAGGAGTGTGGAAACAAGGAAGGCTCCCTGGAGAAGGGGGAGACTGACCTGTGGCACCTGACGCTCCGACGGGGCAGGGCGAGGGCCGCCGGCGGGAAACCGTGGGGTGTGGATTGAGTTGGGACATGTCAAGCCTGGGCTTCAGGCTAGGAGCTACTGAGAATTGTGGTCAGATCCAAGTTTTAAATGTCAAATCGCTGACGGTGGGCAGGGTAGACCGGATGGAGAGACAGAACAAGTGGAATCCGTCAGAGACATGACTGTAGTCAGTAACGTGAGACACGCCTGGATCCTGATGGCGGAATGGGAGAGTGAAGCCGCAGAAGAAAACTATAGCGGGCAGCCATTGTATCTGACGTCGTGGACACAACCTTCCCTTCTCTCCTACGGTCTGTCCCCAAGAATACTGTGTGGAGCGTTTGTCTCTTTCCTGAAGGGGATCTGCTTCCTTAACAATATTGTGGGCATGGTGTACATTTTCGTGAGTTTTGTGCACTTTGACGGTCTTACTCTAAGATGTCTCTGTTGGCGTTCCTTATGGCCTTATGTGTTTTTCACTGTGGCGATTCAAATACTATTTTATTTAAGGCGTGTTGTTCTCAATGACTTATTTCCATTTTTTTTTGCTTTATTATTTGTTTTCTTTTAGAAATCTCCACACTTTGGGTATATTTCAGTTCTTCTCAAAGTGGATTTTGTGGATTGGTAGTGTAGGGGTGTTTCTCAGGCCCTTTCAGACGGTTTTGTAAGTTAAAACTATCTCAAAATAATATTGAAATGTTACTTGCCTTTTAACTGGGTGGACATTTGCACTGATGGTGCAACAATCACAGTGAAGGAAACTTCCAGAGCCTTAGACCAAGACAATGACACCAGAGACAGCTGGGATCCTTACATTCTCTACTTGCAGGGAAAAAAAAATGTCTCTTAGTGTTACTTATTATTATTATTTTTAAAAATCTTTTTCAGTTTTTTTTTTTCCCTCATAGGGCATGTGTAGTCACTGGAGCAAGACAGAGAGAGACAGTGGGAGGGAAGGTGAGAAATCACCCACCTCGATCTTTTGTTCTCCTTCATTCTCCTCCTGGGATTTTGGGCATGTGTGCACACACACCTGGCATGCTTTTCAAGTGTCCAGTCTGGGATTCAAACTGTGCTCAACCATATGAGAGTCCAGCGCCTTAACTGCCATGCCACCTGCTTGCCCTACTTAATGTTATTTTCAAAAGGGAAAAGATGAGACCGGAAGTTGGTGTAATGGCTATGTCGCTGGACTCCCATGTAATCGACTGTGGTTTGAGTCCTGGACTTGGTGGGTTGAACTCACTCTGGGTGCGTGTGCATGTGTTCCCAGGATCCTGAGAGGAGAATGGATTATGGCATGGCCGTCCCCCCTGGGGGGTGATTTCTCACTTTCTGTCTCTCTGTCTCTCTCTGTCTGTCTGGCGAGTGCATGCGCCCTATAGCAAAAACCTCTAAAAAAAAAAAAAAGGGGGAGAAGGTTACTTTGATTAAATCTCGACCCTTCAAGGCCTGCCATTGAATGGTATGTGCAATGAAGGTAACTGGCAGAAAGTACTGCCGCTTGTTAGATCTGGCGCAGTGCCAGAGATCATTCTTAGTTCTCTGAAAAAGTTTTTAAAATTTTTTTTGTGCCCAAACACTTATCTTTGTGAGGTTATGTTTTATTATGTACTTGAACCAAAATAAATAATTGTGAGAAACTGAATTCACAGCGATTATTCTAGTACTGAGATTCGCAAAATAAAACTATGCTGCTATGCTCACTACTGTTTGTTTTATTACTAGAGTTCTCATTCGTTCACCAAAGAGATGTGAGGGAGAGAAAGAGAGAGAGAGAGAGAAGGAGAGAGAGAGGGAGAGAGGGAGAGAGGGAGGGGGGAGAGAAAGTGTCCCCAAATGGGGCGTGGTTACAATGCAATCCTCTTTCCTTTCTCCTCCTGTCAGGATTTTGGGTGTACACACATGTGCCCAGCATGTTTTTCAAGACACCCAGGACAGGATTCGAGCTGTGGGAAGTCACGTGGGATCCGGATTCCTTTACACAACGCTCAAGCGGGACTATGGTGCTAACTCTACACACACTGCTTTTATTTTAGGAAAAGAGAGTTGTTTTTCATAAAAATATGTTATTTATCTGGAAAAGCTATGAGTTTACAATAGCAATTTTTAAATGAATGAATAAATACATGTCGAAATGCTCAGTTTTAATTTCCAATATGGTAAGCATAGTTACATAAAATCCATATAAACTGGATTCCTTTGTGCTTCTTAATCAGTTTAAATGCAAAATAAAATGTTCTTGAGACCAAAATGTTTGCGAGCCACTCCGCTGTAGGGTCGTCTTTGATTTCTAGCTCTCCCGTTTTCGTTCCGATTTTCGTTCCGATCCACTTCAGTTTTTATTTCCATGTCATTACACTTGTTTTTCTCTAGCCTGTCCTTCGTGTCCAAAATTGTGTTTTCAGCAGTGTCTGTTCACCCCAGTGATGTTTCTAACATTTAGTTATGAAGCAGCTTTTTTAAACCAATATTTTGCAAAATTATATGCAAATATTTATAAACAATGAATATAATGAAAATAAAGAAGATATAATTGATGAAAATTGATTCCCGAAGAGATAGAAATCTAAGAGTATCCCAGAGAGGAAAGAGACTTGCCTGAGATGGGTGCAGAACAGATTCTCGTCTGATCCTCTCAGCATGGCTCTACGGGTTATTCCTTTTCTGCATTTTAGGCTGTGAAAGAGCTACCTCCCACAAAAGCTTGTGCTCAGGTGCTTTTCCAGAGAAAATAACAATTTAAACAACAATTCCAATTCTGCTTAAATTGGTGCAGGGATTAGAAAATGATGAATGCTATAAGAATATCTTTTTAAAAACCACTGTGATCTCGATAACAAACCCCTGAGAAATAGCTATGCAAATGACCCACAAATATAAATAAGAATTCTTATAAGTCATGAAGAAACCAGAGCATATTAAAAATATTAGTTCATAATCAAATGATGTTTATTCCAGAAACTCAAGAATGGCATAATAGGCAAGCCATTATTATATTTTACTGCATTAACAGGTTTATAGAGGAAAATCATGTAATTTTCAGATACTACAAAGGCATTTGCTAAATTAAACATTGATTCTCATGAAAACTTTTACTAATGTAAGTCTGAATAGCCATCGCAATAAAATAGTTCTACTGAGCCCACTAGCCAGAATCTTGCACAAAAGAGAAATGATACAGTGTTTTTATTAAAGAAAGAAATAGACCTCGGGTTTCCTCTATCGCTGCTATTATTGAATGTAGTTTTAGTGTGAGAAATCATGAAAATTAGCCAAGAAACACAGGAAAGAATGATCAGGAAAATTCTGAAAAAGAACAATAATTCAGAAGAGTTAGTCATGCCACATAATGAAACACGGGTTAAAGTTACAGT